TGTATACGCTGGGAAGAGCAGGGTTCCTTAGGGACGGTTCAATGAGAAAAGAGAGGTTGCCAATTTCGGTCTTTTCTGTATCACACCGGAAACACTCTAATTGCATTTTTGTTTGCCACGAACGCATCAGACCCTACCACGGCATTGAGCAGTGAGAAGTCTATTCCCAAAACTTGTTTCTGCACTGGGTAAGTTGTGTAGGGAAGATTAAGGAGTGTGAACCAAAGCATTTCAGCCCTCTCCTCAGGTCACCAGGGCCCAAAACTTTGCCCTAAGCTAATTTAACCTACCAGCGCCATTTGACACAGATGAAGACACTCTCCTCCTAAAACACTTTCTTCTGGGACACAGACCTCTCTCCTGCTATCATCCTACTTCATCGGCTGCTGGTTCTCAGGTTCCTGGGCTGGTGTGTCCTCAGCACTCCAACATCTCAACGCTAGAGGACCTACCCAAGGCCCAGTTCTTGGATGGCTTCTCTTTTCGGTCTGCTTGTGTTCTCAGTAAGATCTGGTGTCTCATGCCATCTCATGGCTCTACTTATTTATTTATTTTTAAATCCCATCTACAAGCTGATGATTCCCGGACTCCTTTTGCCCGCCCAGCCCTCTTTCCCGAATTCAGATTGGTATATTCAGCTCTCTCTTCATTATCTCTATTCACATGTCTAATGTGCACCTCAGACTTAGTACTTCCAAACCCAAGCTGTCGATACCCCCTTCTTATCTGCCCCATTGCTACCTCCCCAAACTCAATGTGCCTTTCCCACCGTCTGGCTCATTTTTGGTTCGGTAAATCAAAATGCCAAACTTTGAATTGCTCAGAACAAAAACCTTGGAGTCCCTGGCTTGCTTCCAATCCCTCAGCAAATCCTATCAGCTCTCCCTTTAAAATATATCCTAATCTGACCACTTCTCATCCTCTGCACTGCTACCCTCTTGGTCTGAATCACCACCATCTTTCACGTAGGTTCATGCGATAGTTTCCTAACAGCTCCTTCTGCCTTTGCCCTTGCCTGCAACCTCCCCTCCCCAATTGTCTATTTGCAACACAGCGGCCAGAGTGAGTCTTTTACAACCTCAGTCACGTTATGGCGGTCTTCTGTTCCACACCGTCTGATAGTTTCCTACCTCCCTCAAAGTAGAGCCCAATGGTATTGCAACAGTCTTCAAGATCTCAGATTCTTAAACCTTTGACGTCATTTCTTCTTCTTCCTGTTGCTCATTCACTTTAGCCATACATACTGGCCTTTCTGCTGTTCTTTAAATGCCAGTCATACACCTCTCTCTGGTTCTTTCCTCTCATACCTCTTTTTCTGGTATGCTTTCTCCCGAGGTATCCACCTGGCTTGCTCCTGGTCTTCCTTTAGGTCTTTCCTCAAGTGTTACCGTATCATTAAGGGCTTCTGTGGCCACTCTAAAATTGTGGGTTACCTTCATTACACCCTGGCATACTCTAGTCCCCTTCCCATGCCTGATTTTTCACCGTAGCACAGAGGGAAGAACCAGGAAGAAACCTCTGGGGTCATCTTTTTGAATAATGGGTTCACTTGAACTGGAAAGATTGCCAGATCCACCTTGGGGACTTGAGTGCCCATTCATTCAGACGTCTCCCGATACACAGTGCCGGGACTGCTAGGTTGTTTCAGTGACTCAGTTTTGGGAAGTGCATGGCAGCTCAGGGTAAGATGATTTCTGATGAAAGGAACTAAAAAGCACACCCGTAAAGCCCTTCCATCGCCTAGTTAATCTGTAGTAATTTTCCAGGACAAAGTAACTTCTTGAGTCTGAAAATTTAGAGTGGGGTCAAAAGGGTCAGAGCCATAGCAGAGATCATTATCATAGGGGACAGGGCTTCTCTGTAATTCTGGTGATTATACAGGTTATCCTGATCCTTTGCTCACCCAAGATTTATCTTCTTACTGGAGATTAGAGTAAAGGTGTGTATAAAAAAGACAACAATACCGCAAGTAGAAGAATCAACATAAATGGAATCACTCCAGATCTCTCTTTATTACAGAAAGGGCGTTCTATTTTCCACCGGCCAGGAAGGCTGTGGAGGTGAAAAAAAAACTACAAGAGCCTTTGCAACTTCTCGTTAAGTAAGTTTTCTGACACATTGGCAACTAGTGATTAATTTCTGTGTTAGAAGATAACATTCCTATAGAGATTTGCTGGAAATAGAGATGCTGTCCATGCTTGATTAGACATTGCTTAAGGAATGCTGAGGCACACTGTTGCCGTCTCTTATTTCTGGCTATTTTGGTATCGCTGTTATATTTATTTTACATAGCTTCAAATTCAGTAGAATTGATGGAGCCCATTTCACAAAACCCGTCCCTACCAAGAACAGGAATGAAAAAAAATAAGGCTATAAAGTGCATCTATGTATGCATGTGTGTATGTGAGCAAGAGAAAATGAGGGTGAAACAGACTAGGAATAGTGGAGATATACTGTTGCTTTTGTAAATGCTTTCTGCTCTACAAGGAAAGACCTGCAAGGGAGATACTGCTCCGTATAAGCTTCTAAGAACATTGACCTATGTCAGCTGGTTAAAACTTTCAGGGCATTAAAGACTAAACTAAAACTAAACTTTGCCATTATCCAAGCCCTTTAACAGCCCCCCCCCCCCAAAAGCCTTGATTTTGATACCTATCCATTCATCCAGTACACGTGATGAGCACTTACTCTGGTCTGGGCACTGAGAAAACAGACAGGAACAGTCGCGGTCTCTTGGAACATTCAAGTCTCATAAGGAGAGGTCTTCTGAGCCAGGATCAAAAGGACAGACTCATCCAATGCTACATACTTATGCTGCCTATTTCCTTTCATACTCCATGGGGAGTAGAGAGTAACAGTAGCAGTACCTCTCCCAAGTGGTCACATTCCGCTCACGCCCATTTCCTCGGACATCATTCATAAATCCAACTGTAAAAGGCACGGCTTGGTTGCCGTTCAGTTATTTCCTGAAGAAACGCTTTGCTGGCACACAGCCCACTGATGCCAACCTCAATACTGCCCAGTCAGCATTTCATTATTCAGATGCTAGTTTTTTGAGTACGCGTTCAGGCCCCATGCTGTCTGCCAAAAACTGTGCTAATTTACTTATTTCAGCTAAATAAAAAAAAAAAAAATCATTTAAAAAAGGATGATTGAATTTAAGAATTATATTCCTCAGAGAATTAGTAATGCTTTGCTGTATCCCTCAGGCCTCCATGTACTTAACTTCCCCTTGTCAATGTTATTATGAATAGACTAATTCAATAATGAGATCATTCCCCATAAGAGCGACCAAATAAATGCAGTATTCAGTCACACCTGGTTTCCCTAATCTGAGCAAGGAAGGCTTTCTACCAAATTTAGCCTAAAATAGGGAATTTAATGAACACACACACACACACACACACACACACACACGCAAGAAGGAAGAACAAGACAGGAGGAGGACAGAGAAGCAGAGGAACAGGTGGCAATGGAACAAATGGGAGTGATAGATTGGAGAAGAAAAGTTAAAAATGAAGATATATGGTTATATGCTTTCCAAACAAAGATCCTAGCACATATGTCTTAATACCTGTCAAAGTAATGTAATATTTCATCATCCTTTGAAATGTCTTCAGAATTGTTTCAAATTTTCTAGAACTTCTCGAGGAATCCAAAAGTCAAGTGAAATGGCACAGAAGTACTAAATGTTAGGCAGGAGAACTCTGCACTATTACAAACAAATGACTTTCTAGCCATAAGGGAGTTTGTGGAATAATTCACCAAGGTACAAACAGCAGTAATGCACCACGGTACGATAATCATTCATCCTCTGCAAAACTGTTTTCACTTTCACTGAAGCTCCAAAGGTCTGATGATTTAAGCAAGGGAGAGCCGGCGTTGAGACCACACGAAGAGAGAATAAAATCACCTCTTAAATTTGAAAAAGTGCATTATAAAGAAACATTAAAAACTGAGATCAGCAAACCTAGGACAGAGAAAGGAAGAGTGCGATTTAAAAGAAGAGCCTTCAAGGACATGAAGGGTGGGCATGGTTGACAATGAGCCCCCACAACGAACATGAGAAGAGAAGACGGGTTTCAACTGGGAAGAGAGAACAGATGAGGAAAAAGATTCATGGACACATACACTCAACCCTTGTTAGGTATAATGAGAGAAAAAAAGGGAAAAAATCCTAAAGCTTAAAAAATTTGCAAATGATTAAATAATGCCTAATTTATGCCGTGGAGTAAGTGTTCAGGTATTAAACGTGATACTGCCGACCCTTGAACAGTGTGGGAAGGTAGGGGCGCCAACCTCCCACACAGTCACAAATCTGTGTATAACTTCTGACTCCCCGCCAGAAAACTTAACTACTAACAGCCTACTGCTGACCAGAAGCCTTACTGAGAACACAAACAGTTGATTAACACATATTTTGTATGTTATACATTTTATATATTATTTTTCTATACATAAAACACTGTTTTCAAAGAATAGTACTGATATGGGAAAATGCAGTTAAGCAAATATAAAATTACATTAACATAGTTCCAATTTTGTAAAAAGAGAAATTGCCTGCACACATAGTATGAAAATTCACTTGTATACTTAGCACAGGCACAAAAGCCAGGAGAAATAACGCCCAATGTCAAAGTCTCTGGATGAAAGTCTTAGGAGTAATGTTTATTTTATTTTTTGTATTTTATGTCACAGATCTTAGGCAGTGAGCAAATATTACTTTCATAATAAGAAAAAAGTTACTGAAGTTTTGTAGTAAGAGCTTAGCTTAGACAAGAGGGAAAACTACCTGCTTAAGTGAGGTTAAGCATCCAACAGAATTGTATCGAATTACCTTCTCTAAGACTAAAGAACATCTAATTATTTCACTGTTTTTTTTTTTTTTTTTTTTTTTAAATTAACTTTTGCAGTACCGAGAATCCATTTTCTAAATGATTTTTACGGGCAATGGGATCTTGGCTTTGGTACAAGGGACTTCGCCCAATCTTTCCTCCTACCTTGCAAAATCCAGGTCTGCCTCCCGCGACATGGTGATGTTGGTCAAATTCTGCTGAAGGACAAAAATGTTTCTACACATCTTCTTGATGCCAGACTCGCTGATGCGCCTGAAGTACTGGGCACCATTAATGAGGATGCAGGAGATCAGGTGACCCAGGCCTGAGGGGCCAGCACACGTCAGTGGAGGGAAAAGAGAAGATAGATTAGTGCCACCCTGCATGAACTTACACATGAATATGGAAGGATTTCTCTCTTGTCATCCTCCACAAATTTAAACGACCAAAGAAAACATACCTGTGAGGGTTGTTGTGCCCACTGATCTTACACTTGTTCCAGAGTATTTAAATATTGTCCTAATAGTTAGATATGGAGAGGCTTTATGTAACATAAACTGGTAAATCCATAGCTCCAGCACTGCCATATATATCGTAAGCTGTCATACCAGGGGCTTAGAAAATATGCCAGGTTAGGGGCGCCTGGGTGGCTCAGTCGGTTAAGTGTCCGACTTCTGCTCAAGTCATGATTTCGCGGTTCTTGAGTTCGAGCCCTGAGCCGGGCTCTGTGCTGACAGCTCAGAGCCTGGAGCCTGCTTCAGATTCTGTGTCTCCCTCTCTCTCTACCCCCTACCCCTCGCTCACACACACTCTCTCTCTCTCTCTCTCAAAAATAAAATAAAAACATTAAAAAGTTAAAAAAAAAAAAAAGAAAATACGCCAGGTTGTTATAAACTACTCAAGAGCAGTGGGATTCATTTTTCTGCAAAGTGGTTTTGGAAGCAGAGATGAACACATGTAAATACAATGATTGTTTGCTTTCCTCTTCCTCCCACAAAAAAAGCCAGGGGTGTACTTTTGGCTCAAAAGTTGATTTGGAACCTAAAAAAGGCAAAAATAGAATAAGAAATTGATGCATGTGGGTTGCCATTTGTCAAAGCTTTTGCTAGAACTCGAAAGCTAGTCCGGCTTGTTACAAGCCGTCTACTATTTTTGTTATCTTCCCCTTCTAAAGGCAGAGTTCCTCTGTGGTGAAGGTTCAGATGGAAGATCATGGCACCTCTTCAGGTTCAATGACTCCCACTATCTGCAAAATGAGTTTCCTCGTTTAGGATGAAGGTCAAAAAGGAGAGGAGGAACATTCTCTCTTGCTTCAGCTCCCCTCATCCAGTGTTGCTTCCAGACCACGAACTCACTTGTAGGTGTTACCATTTGAAAGTGAAGCAAAAGGCTTTTTACTCAAAGAAAAAGAAACACACACGTGGATTTTACATGTAAAGCCAGACAACTGATTGATGTGAAAAATCTCTGTAAGTCACGTTCTGGTGTGATTTTACTGAGCCCGTAACTTCAGGCATAATTTTATTCCACCATGGTAAAATGCAGTTTGCCCTTAGTGTAGGCAATGGGGGAGGGGGGTGCACTGTTTATAGAGAATAGCAAATAATAATCAATATATTAAATAAGTAAATTTATATTAATAAATATGTATAATAGATCGTAATAATAATTAAAAATAAAACCTATTAGAGGTTGTCTGCTTTACATTACCACTGTATACTGGTAATTTCAAATTAAGAATTTTTTAAAATGTTTATTTATTTTAATTAATTTTATTTTTTATTAAATATAATGTATTGTCAAATTGGTTTTCATACAACACCCAGTGGTCATCCCAACAGATGCCCTCCTCAATGCCCCTCTCCCCCACCCCCCATCAACCCTTAGTTTGTTCTCAGTATTTAAGAGTCTCTTATAGTTTGCCTCGCTCCCTCTCTGCTTATTTTTGAGAGAGAGAGAGAGAGAGAAAGAGACAGAGCGCAAGCAGGGGAGGGGCAGGGATAGAGGGAGACACAGGATCTGAAGCAGGCTCCAGGCTCTGAGCTGTCAGCACAGAACCTGACACAGGGCTTGAACTCATGATCTGTGAGATCATGACCTGAGCCAAAGTCAGATGCTTAACTGACTGAACCACCTAGGTGCCCATGGCAATTTCATATAATACCTGTGGTAACATACTTTTTTCTGTCACACCAAAGAAGACTGGGATCCTGTCACCCCCACTCTCTACCCCTTGGGAAATTCCGTATTACACCTTTTCGATTTGGAAAGTGGTGTCACGGAGAAATAGCTAGAGCTTTTTAAACAGAAGGTCTCCAATTTATGGTTTCTTAAACCCTATTCTACATCAGTGTGTTATGCTCATATTTCAAGAAGATGTCGCTACTCATCAGGATTAGATGTTAAGAAATGGCTGGGAAAAATGAAAGAGAAAGTCTGGGAACTGCAAATGTTGATAGATAGGGCTTAGAAGAGCCCTGGTCAAGAGCAAGAAGGAAACTGTGCAGTGAGTGAGGAGTGACTTCTCCGATGGGCACCGCTGCGGCCCTTGGAGTGTCAGCACCATGCAAGGAACAGCTCACCTTTTAATCACTTAGACTTTTTGGCTTAAGTCTTTTAGCGATAGTTTCTTCTCAGAACATACCTCCATCTTTATGATACAATTTAGTGGGAAAATAAGATTTTTAGTTTCGGGGTCCAAATGTGCTGGAACATAACTGTTTTATAAAGTGAGCAATGACCCAGCATTTCTTTCCTGTCTCTGGGTTCCACGATTATTTGCACAGTGTACTTTCTTAATTATTTGAAATAACACTGGTTTAATTTTGAGAGACCTCGTAGATACTTTTGGCACCCAGGCCTACATACAAATAAACCAAAACAAGAAAGAAGGGAATATAGTTTGAAGTCCAAAAAGGGGTCCCTAGTGGGGGACTCCAGCATGAAAACTTATTTGGCTGGCATCACATATTTTGTTTTGTTTTTTTTCATTTAAAAAAAAAATTTTTTTTAAACGTTTATTTATTTTTGGGACAGAGAGAGACAGAGCATGAACGGGGGAGGGGCAGAGAGAGAGGGAGACACAGAATCGGAAGCAGGCTCCAGGCTCCGAGCCATCAGCCCAGAGCCCGACGCGGGGCTCGAACTCACGGACCGCGAGACCGTGACCTGGCTGAAGTCGGACGCTTAACCGACTGCGCCACCCAGGCGCCCCTGGCATCACATATTTTGAAATGTTGAAGGTGAATGCCTTTAGATGGAACTGTCTTTCATACCTTTCCTTGCTGGCCTGCCCCGAGGCATTCATGGATGCAGCCTTTCTAAAATCTCTGCTGATCAGAGGTTTCTGGTCTTTTCAGACAACAGGGCATTCTTTGAGAGAAACCTCGCCCTTTCACTGATAATCTTCGCCAATGACAGATCTTTCAGAGTCCTCTTCTCATTGTATATGTGTTTCTTTTTCTTTTCTTTTTTTAGAGCTTTTTAATTTTTGTTTATTTATTTTTAATTTGAGAGAGAGCACGCACATGTATGCACACGTGGGAGAAGGGCAGGGAGAGAGCAGAGAGGGAATCCCAAATGGGCTCTGCGTTGTGGGGCTCGACCCCACAAACCTGTAAGATCATGCTCAAGCTGAAATCAAGAGTCAGATGCTTAGCCAACTGAGCCACCCAGGCATCTTGTTTCTTTTCCTTTTATGAACTCCTCTTGAGTGGGTCTCATGGCCCACTCTACATATTTACCCAATTCTTATGAGTGACATGTCAGGGAGGCAGCCAGACTGCCATCTATCTGCCTTATGTTGGATTAAATCTCATCAACCGGGAGCAGATGGCAGCCATATTGTTGTGCACCTAGCCATACACAGAGAAGCTAGGTATTGCGGCTTTAATCCAAAAAGAAAAGACAAGGAAAAAACCCCAAACAACTACAAGTTTTGAACTGCAAAAGTAGAGAGACACACACAAAAAACCCTTCACCCTTCCTTCCTCCCCAGATCCCAAGGGCAAAGGCAGGGTCTGACCTTCAAATATATATTGGAACTTATGCTGCTGAAGGCTGGCACTCATGGCCTCTTCAATGGCGCTGATGTCTTTGTTGAGCTTGACCACCAGAGGGTCATAATCCATACTTTCCACATTAGCGACAATGGCATAGTTCCCCTCCTTTGCAAGGGGGATGAGGTAATGGAAACAGTGAACCCTAAGAGAGGCAAGGATGGAGACAGCAGTTAGTAACACATTTTCCTGACGAAAACAATAATCTTCTTGTGACAGAACACCCAAACACTTAAGGCAGCTGTGGCTCTGTACATATTTATGTACTCCTCTGCTCATTCACTGGAAAGCCACCTAGCAAGTGAGAGATCTTGAGCAAGTCAGTTTCTGTGATCCTCACTTGCTTCATCTAAACATTGGGGATGAGGAGTAAATGAACTCTAAAATTCCTTTAAAAAAAAAAAAAAGTTTATTTTTGAGAGAGGGTAAGGCAGGCAGTGGGTGAGCGGGAGAGGGCTAGAGACAGGGAGACACAGAATCGGAAGCGGGCTCCAGGCTCCGAGCTGTCAGCACAGAGCCCGACGCGGGGCTCGAACTCACAAACCGCGAGACCAAGACCTGAGCCGAAGTCGGACGCTTAACCGATTGAGCCACCCAGGCACCCCTAAGATTCCTTTCAAAGACTGGATTATACACATACTGTGAAAAGCACTGTATCTTTCAGTGGATATTACTATAGTGAAAATGAGAGGCAGAGGTCACAGAGCTCTAAAGAGCAGGCTTGGGAATGAGACTACTTTGGTTTCAATTCCCAATTCCAACATGTTCTAGCTGTGTGATTCTGGGCAAGTTACTTTCTCGGTTTCCTTGTCTAGATGATGCCCACACCTACCTCATAAGGTGCTCGGAGGAGCTGGTGCACATAAAGAATACAGCACAGGCCTGGCACAAAGCAAGTGCATAGTAAGTGTTGGCTATCATTGCTATTATCATATTTATTATTATTCATCTATTACTTAAGTAAAATGCCAAAATAAACTTACTTATTTAAAAATAAAATTGTGCTCGGCCTTGGGAATGTGCGACACGATTTATGCCCTTAAACACTCCCTAGCCTAGTCGGGCAGACTGAGGAAAAAAAAAAAAAAAAAGAAAGAGAGACAGAGACCAAAAGAAGGCAGCGTCTCACTCAGAAGCACATGTATCCACGTGCCATGGAAACCTGCCACGGAGCGTCAGGAAAGGTTCACAACAGGAGGTGATACTTAAGTAAGAAAGATGATCTGAATGAGCTTGAGGAAGGAGTGCATTCCTCTGTTGACATGGCCTGATCACTCTGACCATGCACAGTTCTTAGGGTCTTTTTGGTAGTTACTGGTAACTGCCAAAGAAGTCTGAGATGGGTCAAGACTGGCCACTCCATAACCTTTGTGTTAAGCTGTAATGAAAGCACGTTTCAGTCCAAATAATTCGACCACACATATAGGCGTTTCTTAAAAAACCAAAACCAAAACCTTCCATCCGCTGGCAGGCACAGTTCGAACAGTCTTTCCTATAAGCTCAGTGAAGTCCTAATTATTGTTGTAGGTGCTCTGTCTGATCGTACCACAGGAGGTTCAGAGTCAAAATTCTGGTACCCTTAGAGTCTGCATTAAGTAATAGGAAATACTCCTAAACAAATGGCTGCAAAAGCCTTGGGCCTTATCCGTAATGCTGGATCTCTAGGCTTGGCTTTCATCTTTCTTTTTTAAAGTAAGGTTTACTGAGAAATAATGTATCAACAGTAAAAAAATCACCCTTTTTAGTGTATTTTGTAGTGTAGTTTTGACAAATCTACACAGTTGTACAATCGCCACTATGATCAAGTTATAGAACAACAGCATCACTCCTAGAGTTCCCGTGAGCCCCTCTGCAGTCAACCACTACCCATACCCCAAGGCTCTGGCAACCACTGACCTATCTAAGCTTCCTTCCTATAGTTCTGTCTTGTCCAGAGTGCCATATAAATGGAATCATAGAGTATGCAGCTTTCGGAGTTTGGCTTCTTGTGGTCAGCCTGAGGCATCTGTGATTTATCTACTTTATTGTTCATTCCTTGTGACTGCTGAGCAGATCTCCACCGTATGGAGGTACCACAATTTAACCATTCGCCCGTTGACATCTGGACTGTTTCTACTCTGGGGTGATATCACAAAAAGCTGCTTCGGGTACGGGATTTTGGGTAAATACAAATTTTCATTTCCAATGGGTAAGTACTAGAATCGCTGGGTCATGTAGATAAGTATATTTTAATTTTATAAGAAACTGCCAAACTGGGGCGCCTGGGTGGCTTGGTCGGTTAAGCGTCCGACTTCGGCTCAGGTCATGATCTCACGGTCCGTGGGTTCGAGCCCCGCGTCGGGCTCTGTGCTGACAGCTCAGAGCCTGGAGCCTGTTTCACATCCTGTGTCTCCCTCTCTCTCTGCCCCTCCCCTGTTCATGCTCTGTCTCTCTCTGTCTCAAAAATAAATAAACGTTAAAAAAAAAAATTAAAAAAAAAAAAAAGGAACTGCCAAACTATTTTCCAAAGGTGCGATGCCATTTCGCTTTCCTACCAGCAGCGTACGAGAGTTCCAGACGCTGAGCATCCGCACCAGCACCTACTGTCACCAGTTTTTAAAAAGATTTTAGCTTTACTGAGGTATAACTGATCTATAATACTGTGAGACGTTGTAAGTACACATCATGATTTGATATACACATTCCTTGTGGAAGGCTTTCCCCAGTCTGGTTAATGAACATGTCCATCACATATTTATTCTTTTTTTTTTTTTTTTTTTTTTTTTTTTTTTTTTTTTTTTTTAACAATGAGAACATTTAAGTTCTACTTTTAGCATCTTAACAAATTTCAATTATACAATACAGTGTCATCAACCATAGTCACCATGTTTTAAATTAGATTCTCGGGCCTTATTCAAACCTTATAGCTAAAAGTTTGTACCTTTACCAACCTCTATTTCCCCTAATCCCAGCCACAACTTTCCTATTCTGTTTCTATGACTTTGACTTTTTTTTTTTCAATTCTGCATATAAGTGCCACCATGCAGTATTTGTCTTTGTCACACTTAGTTCACTCTGCATAAAGCCTTCAGTGTTTGTTAGTTTAAAAAAAAATTAATAAAACACATCCTAATAGATGTGTACAGTGATATCTCATTGTGATTTTAAATTTTCAGTTTCCTAATGACTAATGATGTTGGGCATATTTTCATGTGCTTGCCTGCCATCCATATACCTTTGTGCTCGTAATTCTTGCCCAACTTTTTTAATGGGTTGTTTTGGGTGTTCTTTATATGTTCTGGATACAACTCCTTTATTAGATATGCATTTTACAAATATTTTATCTCACTCTTTGGCTTGTCTTTTCATTTTAGTGATGTCTTTTTAAGAATGGTTTTCGGGGCGCCTGGGTGGCTCAGTCGGTTAAGCGTCTGACTTCCGCTCAGGTCATGATCTCGCGGTCCGTGAGTTCGAGCCCCGCGTCGGGCTCTGTGCTGACAGCTCAGAGCCTGGAGCCTGTTTCAGATTCTGTGTCTCCCTCTCTCTGACCCTTCCCTGTTCATGCTCTGTCTCTCTCTGTCTCAAAAATAAACGTTAAAAAAAATTTAAAAAAAATGGTTTTCAATTTTGATGGACTTCAATTTATCATTTTTTTCTTTTTGGATGGTGTTTTTCGGGTCCTATGTAATAAATCTTGGCCTACACAAAGTCACAGAATTTCTTTCCCTATGTTTTCTTCTAGAAGTTTTATAGTTTTAGGTTTTATAATTTTGTATAGGATGTGATGTATTCTTATAACCTGCTCATGCAGGGGAATCTAAGTCTCTTGACTACCAGTTCATTTTCATTATCAGTGGTGATCTAATAGCTGCATCAACTAATGACTAATTTCGCCAACAAAAATTTATACTGGCATTCATCTGCTAATTGGCAAGGTGTATAGTGTTATCAAGATACTAGTAACTGCACTGGTTGCAGTGCCCTCCGGAAGGTGACCCTTCTGATAGAATGAAAGTTGACCAATCTGGGGTGGGATTCATGACTAGGGAAATTGATGGCTACTGTGGTTGACATTTAAACTGAGCAGCTCTTAGCTGAAAATAAGATCAAGCCATCATTGCTAAGGTATTTTTACAGTAAATTACAGATGACATAACTCTAGCAAGGGAAGACTCTGGACAAAGGCATGAGGGTGTGAATGAAGGTTGGTTTTGAGGAATGACAAGTGGTTCCTTTTGGTATGCAGAGATCACATATGAAGACAGGGGCATGAGGTGAGCCTGGGGACATGGGTAGGTCATTCAGCTTTGGAGGCCATCTAAGGATTCTGGGTTTCATCCGAGAACGGCTTCCAGGGAGCCTTAGGAGGTGGGAGCCTTAGGATTTTAAGAGGTGGAATGATATAATCGGATACAAGCTTTGGCAAGATCACTCTAGCACAGTACAACGGGTGGGCTGATGGTGAAGAATGGGAGCAACTGAAAGGAGAGAGACTGCTTGGGACATTCTCCTGAATTGGAGGGGAGCGCTTCTACGATCCCGAAGTGAGTGGCAGAAGAGAGAAGTAAGACGGCTTTAAGGTACGCTCTTCCTCTCCCCCAGTGATTAGAGGTGAAAAAGAAAACAGTCGCTGGCCAGTGTCAAATTCAAAAAGTGTTTTCTTTGGATTCTGGCATGTTGTTGCTGACCTTAACACGACCTTGGCATTAAGGTTTTCTGCAAATATTGCTGATTACACAGCAGGGTGGTTGATTTTCAGAAAGTGCACACTCAGGATCCCAACAGTGACAGGCGATTGCTGTCGAACCCACTTAGAGCCCTCCTGATGGCGAGAGAAATCAGCCGATAAAGGGGACATTCTTGGCATCTTGGACTCAAATGGCAACTTAATTTTCTTCTTCTAAAGTTCAAATAGGAAAAAAAAAAACACCACCTCAACAATTTTAAATGGTCTCACCATGTCTTTCATTTCTTGGGGGTGTCATTTGCCTTAGGCTTCAAACTGTGGAAAGGGGCTGATTATTGGTTAAATGTGACCGAAAGTGACGCAGGTAAAATGTCAAATGCTCTTTGGACGGGTCCTTAAATGCAGAACCGACTGGATTTGAGAACACTTTCTGGCTTGAACTTTAACATGTTACAGAAAAATACAGGCTACGGATATAA